CACTCATGACCAGGTTGTATTTAACTCAAGAATGCAAGGTTGACTGAACATTAGAAAATTACTTCAAAGTACAACCTACAGGACTAATGTAGAAACATTTCATCTCCATAAATGCAGAAGGATTTCAACCAAATTTATCATCCACTCATAATTTTTTAAAATTTCCTTAGCAAACCAGAAATAGGAAGTAACTACAAACAAAAAACATGATAAATTGTATATTTATGATAAGATATTAAAAGTATTGTCTTTAAAATCACAACTGGGAGAAAATACAAGTATGTATATTTAATAAGTGACTCATATTCAGAATTTGAACTCCCATGGCTCAAGAACAACAACAAAAAGACAATAGAAAAACAGACCATTCCCAAAAGAGGACGTATGGCCAGCTCACCAACAGATAAAAAGACATTCAGCCTTACTGGTATTCAGAACAATGCAAATTAAAGCAACAATGAAATCTCCAGTGGTAGGAATAAAACTCAGAAAATAATAATAGCATAGAGGATGCAGAACAAATAATGTTAATATACTGCTGGTGGGAGAGTAAATTAACACACGCAGTTTTGCAAAACCATCTGGCATTCTATCGTGTATGACGCAGATAAGCCCATATATGTGTAATCTAAATGATTATTGTTTTGCAACTGCAGAAAATGGAAAACAAGCAAAATGCTACTTGATTGGAAAATTAAAGAAACTATACGAGAGTAGCACACCACTGTGAAAATGAATGATGCACAACTCACTTGTGAAATATCACGGACACCAGCATGTGTGAATTTGAGACAGAAATGTTCAGCCAAAAGTGGAGTAAAAACATATTCAGTATTTTAATTCAGCATATTCAAGATGAATACAAACATAGTAAAACATTAGAGACGCAAAGTGTCATGAACTCAAAATGGAGAAAATTTTTGAGAGAATGAGAAAAATGAATGGTTGAAGAACCCACAGAGTTATCAAAGGCATTATTCATGTTCTATGTCCTTCACTGGGTGAAGGCTGTTCGGTCATTTATTTTTAATGTTTATTCTGAAATATTTATTCTGAAAAATTCACTAAACTCCGCAGCCTGCCAGATTAAAGCTGTTTAACCTGTCATCACAAAAACTTGATCAGGTTAACAATAAAGTGTTAAATCGTGTCAAGCAGGTTACCATGGCTGTTTTGCATCTCTCTGGCATTAAGTTTCAATCTGACATTCTCCAGCCAAGAATAACCACAAAAATGACCCCTCACTGCTTAATTGGGCCCTCAGCACAATTATCTTCAATTTTATCAGAACAATCTCAAAATGTGGTACATCCCAAGGACACTAAAATCTCACTTATTGAATATAATTCCCCTAGCAAGCCCATAGAGCTTTCACAAACATCCTAGAGATTTCTACCTGTGCAATAGAGAACAGGGATCATATATAAAGCAAAAAGAGTAAATGATCCAAAAAGGGACTGTCCAATTTCGGGTTATCAGATCAAGTTACACTCACCCATAGAAGGAAAAATAACCCCCCTTAGTAATAAAGAAATAAACATGATAAAAATAGCAGTTAAATGGAAAATTTCTCTAAAATATGAAGAGAAAGCAATGACTAGCCAGAAATACATACACCATTTCATGACAAGATTTAATTTTATTAGAAAATATCTCATAAGAGAGTTAGGAAACTAAATTACCCATACTGGAGAGAAACATATAACAAAATAGGGGAAGAACTGTTTTTACGAACTTACTTTACACAGCAGCTTAGAAAATTTTCGGATAGTACCATGTTTTATTTGCCACTACCCAACACCCACTTCCTGTCTCTTATATACTATTCTCCATGAAGCAGAAATCATTACACAGCTACTTAACTTTGGACCCCTTTCAACAGAATCTGATTCTCATAAAAGCTGGGTCTGAAGGCTTGTGGAGCCCGTGTGTGTGTGTGTGTGTGTGTGTGTGTGTGTGTGTACACCGATGCATTCTTGTACAGGTGCAATATCTAATGAATGAAAATTTCATACACATATAAAAAGAATCTCAACATCACGATGTCTCTAATACCACCATTCAGAAGAAAGAGTAAAGATCATTTTGCTTTGCTTTCTTTTTCCTCTAATCTTCAATTTTAGCTGTTTGTTTTTTGCAAAATCTGATTTTCTTTTTCTGCACAAGCTCTCCTGGCCAACAAACATCCACTGTGTCAATATCAGCAAGGATGGTTATTTAGCTTTTGTGAGTAGGGTAAATGAGTAAAAGATTAGAACTGCTCCTGTCCACAGCAGTTTTAAATGTTCAAAGAGCAAATGAAATCAAAGGGGGTACCCTCAAGGAGAGAGTGACACTGTGAGGTAGCCGGTCAGCCGCGACTCACTGAGCTACGCACTGAAGGAGTGGGCTCACGCGTGCCTCTGGGCTGGCCGACCTGCAGACACACCAAGTCTCTAGCCAGAGGGGGTGCGGTCGGCATTTATGCCCTCATTTCAGACTGAAAAGCGCATACAGCTGGCATTGTTATGCTTGACTGGTACTAGCTTGTGGAGTATAAGCAGCTGAAAATAAAGTCAGGAACACTATTAACCATGACCAGAATGTGCTGCTTTATTTCACTAGATTAAAATAATAATTTCTGTCTTTTCTCAAATGTAATCATTTCCATATTCTAGTATGTGCATTTCATTGTCAGCTACCGGTACATTTCTAACCAAAAGGCTCATAAAACAAATATTTACAATATGTATGTCCTTATTTTACAGCAAACCAAAATTTAATTTCAGAAGGTATAAATGTAAATAATTTAAAAGACATATAAGTACATTTACATATGAGGAACAAATGAGACAGCTTTGTGATGATGCAAACTTAAAGTAGTCTAAGAAAGTCTTTGAAGGTTTCCCAAGACTGGGTACACCCTACATCCTGGATGATGGAGAAGTGCAAAGTCTGACTGGTGCTTCTAGAAGTGTACAGGGCACAAAAGGAAACTATGCAAAACTTTTTGCACTAGAGCTAAACCAGCAGGATGAAGAGAAGACAGTAATGAATGTAACTGTACTGTCTACCTAGAATGTACCAATAAATTAAATTTAAATTTAAAAAATAAATTAAAAAAAAAGAAAAGATAGCACACACAAGACATTCCTATAGCCAGAGTCTAAAAGACTTGGGAAGAGTCTTCATTGGAAGAAGAAAAGGAGAAACATTGCAAAAAGTCATGTACCTAATGACTGGAGATATAGCACCATTGACAGAACAAAAGAGCCAAGTATGATCGAGTTCAAGTCATGATATTTGTGTTCTAACTTTTAAATAGTTTAATTCCACTACCCCAGAAGCACAACATCTGGCATTATAGAAAGGAAGCGTTTTTAATATTGGCTGATTACAGTAAAGACTGGATGAAGAATGACAATTTCCTAACTCATTGCAGTGTCACCCAGCTGGTGAGAAAGAAGCTATTTCCCTCCTAGCTCAGCTCCCTTCAGGCTGCAGAAGTTGGAAGAGTGACTAGCTTCTATACTGCTAAGGAGAGGTCATTTTGGACCGAATATTGAACATGAATTAATATAGTTTCCGATTATGTTGGTTCATATTACACTAACTAATTTAGGGTTAAAAGTTTCTTGCCTTATCTTCATCTTCAGAAATAGAAAAAGTTTGCTAAGCTCTATCTTGGAAAAAAGTCATGTTAACCAAGAATATAATATAATAAGTACGGGAATGGTTGAAGGTGAGATTCTAAATTAATAAGGAGAAAAGTATAGTTCAAATGATGAAAATCTACTGATTTATTACCCACCATGCTTGAAATTGCAGGGTTATAAAGGCAGGTTTTATTGTTTTGCATAAAAGCTGTGGTTCATTGTAGAAGGGTGTTATGTATAAACTAATAACATAACTAATACAGAACAAGGGATATATCTGATGAAGGTTATGGCAAGACTCTGTGACTGTAAGATGTAGGGACCTTGAGAACAGTTCACAGGCTTCTGGAAGGCACAGGTAAAGATTAGAGCAGATCTGCAGGACAACAGTTGAGCAGAATTAACAGTAAGTTATTCTCAGAGATGTTTGTTCCAGTCATTGTGTCCCTTCTGTCCTCCAATAAGTTTCCTGGCTGAGAAGCTTGCTTTAACTCGGTTAGCATGCATCATGTAGCAGGCCATCTCTTTCTACCCGTCTCATGAACAGAACTTCTATACAACTGTTGCAAATGTCTTTCTTTTGCATCTTTGTTCTCATGTCCTAGAATTACAAGTACACGGCCATGGAAGTTTCAGTTTGGGACTTCTTGCCTGAGGCTGTCTCATGCTGAAGAAGTAGCCCCTCTGTGCTTCTCTGTGACTAAACTAAGTCTCTGAGAGATCTTTCGTTTTCTGCACCACCCCAGTTGCACACTAGCAGAAGGTTCTCTATTGCATCTGTCTTATCCACATCTCAGTTCAGAAACAGGGATGTGAGCACTTCATATATTAACTTTGAGGAATAGTTTGGTAAGCCACTTAATACCATAAAATCTGTCAATTTCATTTGTTTCCAATAATACCACAGTCAATTAGGATAATAGTTTCTATTTAGCTATTCTAAAACAGAACTTTGTTCACAAACATAATCATATATACAGTATAAAATATATTGGGGAAAGGAACATACCCAAATGCTAAATCATTGTTCACATTCATAATTTTAGCCTTGAATTCACCTGTTTCATCCTTTCATATGTACAGGGTTTTGAAGTGTAGAGCAGGGAATCAGTGTTCTAGGTCCTTCCACAAATTGATTCATTTCCATCGTTAAAGTGATCTAGTATAAAGGCTGACAGACTTTAATCTATTTATTTAAATTTATTTTAGCTAGCATATGAAAACATAAAGTTGTACATATTAATGGGGTATCACGTGATGTTTTGATACATATATAGATTATGTAATATTTGAGTCAGATTAAACATGTCTTTTTCTCCGTTTATCATTTCTTTATGGTAAACATGTCCAACATCTTTCTTCTAGCTTTCAGAAGCATAGTGCGCCATCATCCTCCATTGTCACCCTGCTGTCCTTGCCACACCAGGCAACAGAGAGAGCAGCCAGAATGTGAAGCCTGTGCACCCTGGGGCTAACATCGCATCTCTCTGTGGAGATGGACTCAGCCCAGATTTTTCACCACTAACACGTAAGAAGGGGCATTTTTTTCAAAATGGTATGCTAAATTTCACCAGAAACCCTAAATCAATATTTCACTTTGAGGACTTTTGTGTATATACATACATATTCTGAAGTCAAAGAGACAATTAATACTTTAGGTAGCTTTAGCTTAATTTGTGCAAAATATAATATAAAGTGGCAAGTAAACTAGAAACATATATAATCGTACTGCTTTCACCTTTCTAAGTCAACTGCAGAGCCATGACATTCTATGTACTCTAGAATTATTTTGTCCGTGATCTTCTTCAGTTGCCTGCCTCTCCTCAGAAGACGTAAAAATAGGGAAGCATTTTTAATACTCGGTAATAGTTACTTTCCAGCCACTGTGAATCAATCTGACAAGCTCTGCAAATGTGCACAAATGTAGACATGTATTGAAACTTTTGAGGTCACCAGAGTTTTAGCTGTTTGAATTTTTCTTAAATTCAGGATGTGGTGGAAGAAAAAAAAAAGGAGGAATCTGAAGAAATTCAATTTTTTCCAGTACCATACTGGTAACAAGAAACTATTACATTCTGATGGGTAACACCTTGTTTCTCTAAAATATGTTGGAACAACACCTGCAGTCCATTTAACAGTGCTTGGGGTGTTGACTACTTTTCTTACCTATTGTCGCTGCCTCCCATCCTTGTTTCCAAGCAGGGACGGAATTTTGTCCTTCATGATTCTCAATTCTTCTTCCCAAGTGAATGCCCAGAATAACTACTTCTAACGAATTTCAGAAGTACCTCCAATTTTTTTTCCAATTTTTGTGATTTCACAATTTTTCTGATAGATCTACAGCTCAACCCATGATCCTGTTCTGGAAATTCTATCTTTAGAGAGTCTCAATAACATTGCTTAGAAAGATTACATAGGAGTTTGAAGTATATGTATATTTTCCTTTGGGAAAAAATTGTGAAAACTCATAAAAAGAATGTTTGTAAGAACTAGCAGCACTAGTAATATTAACAGCTAACACTCCACTGAGTCTGCCTTTGGATGAGCAATGTACAAAATATTTTACTGTGGGCCTTGGTTCACGAACTATCCTCGAGAAAATGGCTGTGGTTCTGTTCGTCACCCGATGTGGAGTTCGTGAACGGAAGCAAATTCTGCTGAATGCTTCTGTTTGCAATCTGAGTTTTTCACAAACAGAAGCACTTGTAAACCGAGATATTACTGTACATATTAGCTTCTTTGATGCTCACAGCAACCATTCAGTGGAAGCATAAATATCTTCACAGGTTTGAAGGTCATGAAGGCTGCAGGTCGAAGAGAACACTGCTGTCATCTCTCAATGTTACCAGTCTGTAGTGTCAAGTTCCTCAGTAGGGTTTTGAGATAGTTTATTTCTTTATTTTATTCATAATTCTATTCAGTTTATCTTTAATCATGGTGTCTTTCAAGTCTTCCTTTTAGGAATCGCTATACTTTGTTTAGCATTTAGTGTGATAGACATAATGCAGCATTAACCAAAAAAGTATACATCAGGAAAAGAACATTTGTATAAATATTTTAATTCCGATTAACTTGAGACATCGTGAGATTAACAGAAGTTACCTTTGGCCTCTACAGTTTCAAGAGGAGCTCAAAGTGGTGGCCATGAGCTTCCACACATTTATTAGCAGAGCGAACTACTGAAGTGTGGATACATTTTCTTGGCCGAATCTGTATTTTCCAAGAGTCAAAATCTTGAAATGATCTATTGTCATGTACTGTCCAGCTAAACATTCATGAAATTTTGTATATATATAAGAGCAAAGGTAATTCAATTATAAATAAACTGATCTTTTAAAAACCGGGAGCTGTAAATATTACCTCTGCTTTTTCAGTTGTAAGTGGATTCCTAGATGTCTATGCTTTTATGTTGATAGGAACTATTTCAATGGACACAAAACTCCATTTGTAGGATATGCATTGATTTTATTTCCTTCGGGTACTTTAAGGATGCGTCACACCCCTCCTCCAGTGCACCAAGCTGTTGTGCTTTCCAGTAGAAATACTGAAAATGTTCCCTTCCTCATCATTATGTATCTTCAGAGCCCAGAGACTGAGCTCACTCGATATCACCGGGCCTGCTCACTTCCTGTAATGGCATAGAGATGCAGCAGCAAAGTTTAGAAGTTAGCTTGGGAATTCAGACACTTGAATTTTATTCCCCAGTCTTCCTTTAAATATCGACACCCATTTAAGTCGGATCAAATGTATCTTCGAGAACGCTCCCTCCAGGCCATTCCCTCCTAGAAGGTGGGCAGTATTATTATGGGAGATCCTGATTTCTCAAATACATTAGCCACTATCACAGGGCCAAAATAATAAATAAATTATGCTAATTTGTGTGCCATTAATGGAGAGATAAGGACAAAGGAAAGTATGTTAGAAAGTATGTTAGTGGGAACCATGGTCCAACAATTAAAGCATTTTGAGGTCAGCAGCTGCTAGCTGGCTGGCTGGCTGTGAATATTTGCATGTAAGCAGGCCACAGAAAAATAAGACCTTATTAGGTCTAGCTAAGTAAGTAGAGTCTATAGAGTTATCTTTAAAATTATTTGGAATAGTCACTATTATAAATAAATACTTTCGATTTGTTAGCTCACTACAAGTAGATCTCCCTTATCTCCAGAATCTAGACCACGTGAAGCTACAGAGACGTACATCAGTGTATTTTCAGATTTTACACATCTCAGTCACTCTCAACATTCTCGTGCCCATTATACGATCTTATTCCATCTACAGCAACCTGGTTGGTCAGGCAGACTCTGAAAAGTTTGTTTTCATTCCCATATTTCAGATGGTGAGAATGAAAAAAGAAAAGTCTTGGTGCCTTGCTGAAGATCCAGTGGTCAGTTACTGACAGATTTAAATCTGTAAAGGATTCTCCTAACAACAAGGTCAGTGCCCTGTCCTGCTCCCTAAGCTGTTTCAGTATTTGTAACTGCAGGTCATATGGCTTTAAGACTCTATCCTCCTTGTGGGGAAAAAAATTCCTGGAACCATCTACACATCTGTAATTATGGCTTGTTGAACCCTCAGCATTCTGACCTCTCAAGTTAATTTGAATCATTCTGAACTCAATGTGGGAACAAAGTCCGCTGCTCTTGAATTTTTCTTTCCAGGACCCCAACCGTGTTTGCTGAAAACAGGATTATAGGTATGGTGCTCAGATTTTCTCAGACAGACCCCAGTGATGCTCATGCTCTGATTCGGCCTCATACTTGCAATCTAGCTGAGCTTTTCTGATAAAGAATACCCAAAGTCATTACTCTGAGCCTCCAACGAGATCTTGTCTCCTTTTGTCAGTGATTAATGAACCTCATGAGCTTGCCTTTGACTCCTCTTATTTTTTGAAATGCTCATATTTTATAATTCACACAGCCTTAAGTAATAAAGGCTTATCCGAGGAAAAATTGTTGGCTATTCATCTCCTGGCCATCTATAAATCTTCTTCATCTGTCCAGATGTCTTTTGGTTTACCCCTAAATGCACTTTGTTCTGCCTTTGAGCAAACACCCCTCATTCCCACCCCAGCTGTTGGTTTTATTGACTAAGCTTGTTTATATGGGCTTACTCACTATGGCTCATCTTGGTTTTCTTGGGGGATGTTTCAGAATCTAATGCTAATGAAGCCCGTGTTACTATTTGCAGCATACAGAAAATATATGCATAGATGTTTCTTTGCAATGCTTTTAGTCAAGGATGTGTAATGGTTTGAAATTTGGGGTAGTATTCTAGGGGTGAAGCTATTTAGTGTAGGAGCTCTCTTCCAGAAAGCTGAGGTCCCTCCAAGACCACATTTGTGAGTTGATTTTAGGTCCACTACTTTGTGCTAAAAAGGTATACCTTCTGTAGTGAAGGTTCTGTGAAGGTGTTTGCAGTGGCAGAGCTCAGCCCTCGGGGCGTGCTCCATATTCCACTTTCTTGCTTTTGTAGTTTGACCTCTTTTCTGTGTGAGAAAAGTAGCCTTTTCTGTCAGAGGGGGATATTTAGGTTAAATCCCTTTTATATGAATTGCTGCTGCTGTTGTTGTTGTTGTTGTTGTTGTTGTTAAATGTATATGTGCTTGCCCCACCACTTCTTAGAAAGAGACATGGGCTGGGGATTTAGCTCAGTGGTTCCACCACCTGCCCTACAAACATAAGGGCCAGAGTTGGATCCCTGGTACCAAATAAAAAATAAAAAAAAGAAAGAAAGAGAACAGGACAAAGGGCCATGCACCAGTCCACTTGTCATAAATTTCTTGCATAACAGATTCTTGAGTCACAGGATCTGTTCTGCCCAGCAACCAAGGCTTCATTGAAATAGCCAATCAAGTTAGACAGTGCAGCCACACTCCCACCAATAGGGCAGGCACAGTGACACTGCTGCGTCTGGGAATAAAGACTGGAAAGGTTACTTGTTGGGTGTTCTGGTTGGCTTTGTTCACTCTGGCCATGTACTCTTCTGCAGAAGTAAAAGGCCTTGCCGAGGTCTCTCAAGGTTTGTTTCTTTGATTTGCTTGTGACGCCGGAAATGTTGTCTCTAACACACGTGTGGTTTCCCGCCAGGTAAGATCAGGTATGGAAGTAAGCATTTGGAAACTTTGAAGCAATTAACTGGGTGTGGGAAACACTACCCCAGAATATGGCACCTTTACAGATCCAGCACTGCAAGCTGAAGGAAACAGAAACCTACTTCTGCAGTGGGGTTCTTCTGATTTTCTCCCCTGGAGAGACCCCCACCCTCTGTCATCTGCCATACGCAGTGATGGATGGAATGTCGCACAGAGACACCAAGAAGAATCTGCACAGACAAGCTTTGTCAAATTCCCTGCAATTTATTACTTCGGATGGTAGCAAGTTCGACTGTCCACAGTTCATCACACCTGGGCACACACACGGTTTTCCTTGGGTCTCTGGGTCTTCATTTCTGAAGGCT